ACACAAAAATATCTTGTTTCACAAAAAAAAAAAAAAAAAAAAAGAATGTGGCCTCGTTCGTTTCACTGATTCGAGTTTAGAATTCGAGTTTTGCTACAGTAAAAAGCTCTCACAAACAGTCACATCTAACTTTTTTGCTACAGTAAAAAGCTCTCACATAAAATCACATCTCAACTCGAATTCTAAACTCGAATCAACGAAACGAACGAGGCAAATTAAAAACCTATACTACAATGATAAGGTGGGAGAATTTATCCCAATAGTATTTATTGAGAGGACTGTTTCATACATGGATATGGTAATGGCAACTCCTCTCTATTGTGTGAAGTGGAAACAGCACTCCTATTGTGTTAAAAGTTTTTCAATACGAGCTTTACATGAGAGTATTTCTAGATGCTTTTCTTTGACCATCCAACACGAAAATTTGAACTTTCCAAGAAAAATATGAATCCTCTGTTAAACCTTATGAAATAAAACATGATAATCCAGTGGGGCTAGAAGGTCTTAAATTATTGTCATCAACTAGAAGTTCCACAAAAAGAAAAAACAATTAAGGAATAATTGATATCCATACCAAGGAAGGCAAACGTAAATCTTTATCCTTAATTTTGCTCAACAGATCACATAAACTATCCTTTTCTGTTCCTTAGAAACCACATAAGCAATGAAGTTTTGAATACTTACATCATACAACTTCCTATAATCAACTTCTCTTCGCTGCCTGCGACCGCATAATATTTCTGCATCTGACGAGTCATCAGATCCCACACTACCATTAGATGGATATTCATCGTCTGATGCATTGTCATCAGTCTCAGCACCACCAATGCTGCTGCTATTTTCTCCCCTCTGTGGATCATAATCATCATCCGCAGAATCATCTGAAGGCCATTCATCATCAGCATTTAGTGCTGCATTTCCATCTTCTGGTAAGGCAGCTTCTTCCTTGAAAACATCCTTAGTACAGGAAGCGGATTCATTAGTAAGAGTAGAAGTAGAATATTTCTTAGATAAATAAAATGCTTCCAGTTTTACTAACCTCCCAACTATTATTCATGGTAAAGAGCGTGCCAAGATGAGCATTCAATGCTTCCAAAATTTCCATTCTGCAGTCGCAAAATCTGCAAAACCATCCTTGATCTCCAGGGGGAACTATAATTGGCATTCAATTAAAGTTCAGTCATTCAAAGATGCCAGACCAGATTGACAAGGGGGTGGAAAATAGACTCACTATTCTCAGTATCCAATGGAGGGTCAAGACATTTTTGGTGGAAAGCCGAATTGCATGCCCCATCACAGAGTATAATATCATTATCGGGGAAGGCTTCACGGGACTTGCACTTTGCACAAAATATCTAGGCAGGTCAAAAACAAAAACATGAATAGAAAAGTTGAAATACTTGATAAAAATGCAACGTGAGCCGTAATGATCGTACTACAAAACATGTGAATAATAGCCTAGACTCAAGTAACGTAAACACTAACACAGACATAAAGAAGTAATAGTGGTGCATTCATTTACATGTTCATGGTACACAGATCCATCTGGAGCCATGACAGAATCTTCGATGCTTCCAACTGAACTAAGCATATCCAATTGTCGAATGGCATCTCGGATACCAAGCTTACACTTCAAAATCTGCTTCTTGGCCCTTTGAAGTTCCTTTTCTGGTCGAATCTTTTCTCGGCTGCAGCGGAAGTTCAAAATAAAGAAATTAAATCAGCAATGCAGAAAACGACATGGTTAACTCCACACACTAGTTAGTTCATCAATCAACTCTTTTTTTTCCCTGCAGCACCATTAAACTGAGTCCCATAACAATTCTATTGGAAATAAGGAAAACTACCACTTTCTTGGATAAAATAAATAAGATATTGAGTTCTACATAACTGAAATAAATTGAACTCAAAGTCATGGGTAATTTGAAATGCAAGCAAACTATGAGCCTTAAATTGTCCTAACATACGAGTTCTAAAATGTAAATCAACGCGTTTTAAAATGTTCGCATCAACCAACTGTCATATTAAATAATAAAGGCCATAGATGGGTTTCATTAGGCATCCTCTCAAAATAGCCAGCCATACATATATTTTATATTACTCGTTGACTCTCATGAGCATCCATGTTTCACTATGTTCTTTAATGAAATGTCAATTGCTAAATCATAAAACACTATAAGGTCCAAGAAAAAAAAGGAAAGTACTGGTTTTAAAATAGTGGAAACATATTTGAGATGTCTTCTCATACCTCTGCCCTTTCCAACCTTCACCAGAATAAGCATCAATAAGGTTCTGCTCCAGCTTCATTTTAATCATAAGGTACCTCGTTCTCCTCTGCAAGCGAGAAGGTTCGTCAAGTTCCGCATTAACCTTCTTCTTTTTCCACCTTCTCCTCTTTTTCACTCTTTCAATGCTATCATCCCTGTTTTCATTCTCTCCAACCCCTTCATCGCCACTTGGCTGAACCTTTTCGCCTTGAAGCTTCGACGGAGAAAGTTTCTTCGAAGACTTCGTGCCAAGTTTTTTCTTACTCAGAACTCTTTTTGCCATCAATTTTCTACTTATATTACTATTTCCAGTTCCCCTATTTGGAGAGTCCCCATTTTTCTTCTTTGACAAAGGCGAACCAGTCGACTTTACACGAGGCTTCAGTCTTTGTTTATTCTTTATGCTACGATACACCTTACTACACTTTTTAAGTTTTAGTGATGCAATTAGATTCGGTTCGGTTTCTGCACTGGAATGAGATGGTTTACCAGAGTCCTCAGAAGATAATTTCTTTGCAGTACCACGCATACTGAACTCTGACGTATATAATCTGAAAACATAGGCATAAAATCGATTATTTTCGGCTTGATACTATCCAGAAAATGAGAACACAATGTAAAATTTTTTTAATGAAAATAACATGGAAAAAAGACTAAAGGGTTTAGTTATGCCAAACTTCCAAAGTTCAAAATTTCAAATATAATTTTTCTTTTTATTTTTTGTTTATTTTTATTTTTTTATTATTATTTTTTTATAAAAGCCGACTAGCCGAGATTTTCATAATGGAGAAAAACTACAACAAGAGGAACACTTTGAGGACAAGAAAGAGAATACAGAAGAAACCAACAGAACTAAAAAATAACAAGACAAACTAATAAGTAATAACTTGCTAAGGATTGAAATATGCAAAAGCAATTAACACGTATAATGACTCAATTAAGTTCATAACTGAAATACTTAACTTAAGTACATTGTTTTATAGAAAATTAACTAAAAATATACTAAACATGGTTTTAGCATTCTGTGATCATTTGGGGATTCGGAAATAGAAACCAAGAAACGAGCTTGATCTAATCATGGTGACGATCACATAAATCAATCCCAGATCACTAAAAACGACATAAAAAACGAATACCCAGAAGATAATTAGCCAAGAAAAGACCAAAATCAAGAACTTTAAATCAAATGCAAAGCCAATAAAGGAAGTGAGAAGCTCACCAAATAGAGAAACGAAAGAGTGGGAGAGATTTGTGTTCTTCAGAAGTGTTGAAAGGCATATTTATGTATAAATAAGGAAGAGAAAGAGAGGCATTTGAAATTGAAAAGAGTTTTGATTGATGGGATTGGAATGGGAGAGTAGGAGAGATTTGTGTTCTTCTCAAGGCTTTTTGTTTTTTTTTCCTCTTTTTTTTTCAGAATTTGAAATTTGTTGGGCTTCTTTTTCTTCGGCTGTGTTTCTCGGTAAAGTATAGTCGCCGGCTTTGCCTACTTCAATCCCCAAAAAGAGTCACCCATCGGTCTCCTCTCTCCCTCTCTCTCTCTCTCTCTCTCTCACACACACACTCTCTCTCTCTCTCTCTCTCTCTCTTCTTCTTCTTCTTCTTCTTCTGTCTTTTCTTGTCTTTCTCTTTGAAGGGAAGTTTGTTTCTTTTTCTTTCTTTTTTACCTTCTAACTCTTCTAGTTCGTCTGGAACTACCATTTACTTGCATTTTGCAGCACACTTTGGTTCTTTCTTTCTTTTTTTCTTTTTCTTTTGTTTTTTTTTTAGTTTTATAATTCGGAAAAATCACCCTTTTTTTGTTCTTCAAATGTAAAAAGTAACACATTGTTCGTTTCATTGATTTGAGTTTTTAATTTTAATTTTACTACAGTTAAAAGTTCTCACAGAAAGTCACATCTAATTTTTTCTACTACAGTTAAAATCTCTCATATAAAGTCACATCACAACTCAATTTAAAAACTCGAATCAATAAACTAAACGAAACAGTGAGACTTTATTTTTTTCCTTTCTTTTCTCTCTTATAAAGGTTATATGATGTCATGTATATATTAATTATAAAAGAAAACATAAATTCTTGCAAGAGGAAAAGAGAAAAAAAGGGGTAGAGTGATGCAAGTTTTTTTTTAAGATTTTTATTTTTTTCACAACTCAAATTAATTTAAATTAAACTTTTTTGCTATAATTTTTTTCTTATATATACAATTTAAGTTCTTAACTTGAGTTGTGAAACAAATAGTTTAACTTTTTTTTTCTCTCTTAATTGTCTTCAAAAAACTCCAATGACATTTTATTGGAAAATTTGATTTCATCGAGAAAATTGATTAATTTTCTTGAAAGTTCTTTAAAAGGATAGTCAATTTATATTATAAAAAATATATTAAAGGACGTATATACAAATATTCAAATTTTGAAAAAAGATAGCAGTGTTTTATTGCTATTAATTTTAGCCTTGGTATTTATATTTCTCATCATAGTTCCAATCTCCTAAGACGATGGTTGAGATGAGCCAAATTGACTTGAGAAACAAAAAATAGGTTTGTACCAAACTTTAAACCAACTTCTACTTCTACTAAAACAAACCAGCGAGTCGTATGAACCAATTGTTTTCATAGATTTAAATCAAAATTCAAGTACGTGAGGATACGTGGGAAGACCGCATTATTTGGAAAACCAGAATTCGTATAGCTGACCCTAATTATGTCGGGAATGTGCCTTGGTAATAATGATGATGATTTGAATCAAAATTTAACCTTTTTGCTGCAGACAAACAAACTTAAAATTTCTTTGTTGATCATATTGAATTCAAAATCGCTTTTGTAAATCCAATTTTGGTGCCCATAGCGCCCGCTAACTCAAACTAACAATGCTAAAAAACTCATTCTAGTAATAAGAGATGTAGGCCATGTTTGGTAGCTTGTATTGTATTATATAAGATGTATTATATTGTGTTGTATTATCAGAATACAATACGGTATTTAGTATCATGATGTATTGTATAAAGGGTTAAAATGTAAAATATTATATTATTTTATATTATCATAATACAATACGGTGTTAAGTATCATGTTGTATTGTATAAGGGGTTAAAATGTAAAAGTTTAATAACTTTAGGATCAAAATATAATTTAAAAAGTTTTGGGGTCAAAATATAAATTTTCAAAAGTGTTGGGGTCAAAATGAAATTTTATAAAAAAAAATTGGAGTCAAAGTGTAATTTTGAAAAGTTTTGGGGTCAAGATATAATTTTATAAAGTTTTAGAGTCAAAATATAATTTTTAATAAATATAAATTTGCATTGTGCCCCTCAAATTTTCAACAATTATAGACTCCGGCATTACCCAATGTCGGCCTGACCCCGACTCCTAATCGTGCACCACCCCGACATGAATCATTAATCAACTATAAAATAATACAATACAATACGCTAAATATTAACCGTATTCAATAATACAATATAGACCTTATCAATTTACCATCTATGTTAATTTATATAATACAATAATTACATCAAACATTGTATTATTATATTATTACACAATACGATACTCTCCATATTGTATTGAATCCACCTATTGTAGCAATCTTTTATTTATTTATTCTTTTATGGTAAGAAATCAATGACAGATAAAATTCCCTTGCAACAATAATTCAAAAAAGTCTCTCTCCAAATATAGTGTTTAATATCTAAGATTTTCCCCAGCCTTGTGGCCGGCCAGTTGGCCTAGTTGAACTTCTGCCCTTTCCTGTTCTTGTATTGCCTTGAATAAAGCCCCAAGAGTAGACATTTTTTCATCTCAAAACTATACGGTGATTGAAAGGAACTATCACTTCATCAGCTAGTTAGTCTTCCAAACATAAACATTAAAGACCGTTTGGTAAATGTATTTAAAACTCATAATTTTAAGTCTACTATAGTATTTTTTTATCAGAACTTGAAATCCAAAATTTTTCACCAATAATTCTCTAATTAAAAACTAATTTTTAATTATTTTTTATTTTTTATTTTCATTTTCTCATCTCTCAAATAAAAAGAAATAGAGAGATTAATAAATTTTTTATATTAAAAACAATCTTTTAATAAAATTACTAAACGTATTTTTAAAATTGATTTCTGTCTGAAATTAAAAACGCTTTCATTTTTATTTTCATACAAAAATATAAAATAATTTTAGAATGAGTTTCATATGCCCCGTAAGTAAAAAGTAGGTAAAACTTTGAAGTTCGGAGGGTAAAAGGAGGCAAAACAAGAGAATTGCAGGGATAAATACTGCTTTTGGGGTAAAGACAGCAGGAAAATGTCATCTCATCAACATAAATCACCAAAAGACCAACAGTAAATTACAAAGGTGTTTTCCCCTGATAACCATTATTTTTTTAAATGGCCAGAGCGCAAAGTAAAGAAGTAACTGCTCAATCAAGATTTTTATTTTTATCACTAAAATGCTGCCATGCACCGAAGACAGTATCTTTCTGTCTACAATGTTCAGATATTGAAAGAACGAAAGCATCAAACAAACGAATGGCCACCAAATTAACACCAGTAAAGCTCATGGATCCTGCATTCGAAAAGAGAAGATATTAATTTCCAAAGAATAAGTGAACAAATGAAAACAATAGAAAGAACTAATAATCACAATTAACTCGTGAAAATACAACTCAAAAGTTAGCAATGTGGGAGACATTCTGCAAGATTAAAATGTTAACTCGTGAAAATGCAATAATGAACAGACGCAAAACCCATAAGTAGTCAAAAACAGGTTGTCCAGTAACTCAACATTGTGGACTTATATTTTTAAAACGTTATGTATGTTGTATGTCCAATCTATTCATGGTACAACGCTTTGCTCAACAACAATGTTTAGCAGCAGAAGAGATGTCTAACCAAAAATTTACAGTTTTATCACTGCCAATCACACTTCTATTTTTTGGGGATAGCTAAAATCGATTTGCACTCGTATATGTTGAGCAAAACAGATTCTGGCTCAGAGTTAAAACTTATACGAATGGGGGAGAGTCCAACCAGCTAATGATGTCTCAAACCAAGGAAATTTATAATGGAAACACAAATAGCACTATTCACCTTTTGGCTTTTACAGTAAATTATTTCAGAAGCGAGTTTTGATGTCTTTACAAAGAATACAGAAAAACTACAAATAAAACGGTATTGGAACCTAACAACCAAAAACAAAAAAACACTATTCTCATTGAATCTTGCCTCATTTAGAACACCATTAACGTCCGCCCATCTCCATTCTTTACATGATTCTCATTTCAAGGAAAAGGTTCTTTGTTCAATTAGTGTTTGAAAAGAATGTTCAAGGAAGAACTTCAAGGAAATACCCAAAATTTGCAACCTGGAACAAACTTAGTACCAACAGAGTAGGTAAGAGATGCTACATCTGGGGGAAGACAAACTTTTTGACTCGGGTGATAATCAAATTCATGCTACACTTTGGTATCTTCACCTGCTCACCATCCCTATCTTCCTATCCTTTTCCATAACAAGTTAACAACTTCACTTCCACTTTCACCCTAAATTCTAAAAGGCTTCTTCCTAATATCACCACTTTTAAGTTTAATAATTCTTGTTCAAATGAGTGCTAAGTCTGAAAAGCTGCCTATATCATTGACTACAGAAACTCAAACTCAAAGAGAAAAGTCTTGGCCGTGTTTGGAATTGATCCCTTTTTGTTTTTCACGTTTTTCGAAAAAGAAAAAATGAAAACGTTTCTAAAACGGCGTTTGGCGTAATAAAGACAAAAAAGGAAATGAAAACGATTTTTTTGTTTAGTGTAAAATGAGAGAGAAATGAAAAACGACTTTTAGTCATTTTTCATTTTTTGTTTTCGTTTTCTCTCTCTCGAGTAGAGAAAAAAAGAGAGATATTAATGAGTTTTTTATACTGAAAACAATCTCTTGATAAAACTACCAAACGCATTTTCAAAAATGATTTCTGTATGAGATTAAAAACGTTTTCATTTTCATTTTCATATAAAAAACAAAATCATTTTGGAACGAGTTCCAAACGCACCCCTTGAGTCTGAAAATTAATTTCAAAATGCTTTACTCGGATTAAGTATAACTTCTTTTTCCATGACCTTGAGTTGAGATTTACTTTCTGAAAAGAAAAGGGAAAAAGAAAACCTTTTCTTCACCACAGTATACTTCAATCCCAAATCATGGAAATTGATCAACAATGAAGGAATCAGAAGTAAAAGTATTCAATGGATATCCGTTTACCCATCATACAAACACATCTAAGACTCAGATACAAAATAATTTAATGTTAGAATATATGGTCATAATTCCCCCATCAAAAATGCATTTCAAATAACAAAACATTTAAAAAGAAAAAAATTCTTTAACACAGCCCAGAAGAAACGAACAAAAACCCTAATAAAATCAAAATTTCCTAGTAGAATATATCATTTGAAATAAAATCCCCTCATTATCAAACAATGTATGAAAGAACAAAACTTTATAACCCTAAACCAGGAAAAAAATCCTATTTAAATAGAATTGTACAAGGAGAATGCATCTTCAATCCCCTAATTATCAATCAACATTTAAAGACCAAAAATTTATAACCCCAAAGCAGCCAAAAGAAAAAAAGAAAAAGAAAAAAAAAACTTAATAACATCGAATTATGCAAGAAGAATACATCTCCATAAACTAAAATCCCCTCATTATCAATCAAATGCTTAAAAGTCCAAGACTATATGGCCCTATAAAAACGCCAATCTAATCAAGTTGTGAATATATCATCATGGACTAAAATCCCCTTATTATCACAGAAATGCTTAAAATTCAAAAGCAATATAGCCCTGAAAACCCCGCAATTCAATCGAGTTGTGAATATATCATCATGAACTAAAATCCCATAATTATCAAACAAATGCTTAAAAGTCCAAAACTTTATAGCCCTAAAAAACCCTAATTAAATCGAATTGTCCTGGACTCCTGGAAGAATATTTCATCCTGAAATAAAATCTCCTCCTTGTCAATCAATACTTGAAAGAACGAAATTTTATAACCCTAAACCAGGAAAAAAAAAAAAACATAATTAAATACAATTGTCCAAGGAGAATGCACCAACATGAACTATAATCCCCTCATTACAATCAATACTTAAAAGACCAAAACTGTATAACAAAACCAGCAAAAAAAAAAAAAAGAATCAAGGAGAATATATCCCTATTAACTGAATCAATTAAATGCTTAAAAGACCAAAACTTTATAGCTGTAAGAAAACCCTAATTATATTGAATCGTCCAAGGAAAATATATCATCATGAACTAAAGTTCCTTTATTATCAGTCAATACTTGAAAAAACAAAACTTAATAACCCTAAACACCCTAATTAAATAGAATTATCCAAGGAGAATGCCTCATCATGAACTATATTCCTCTCATTATCAATCAACACTTAAAGGACCGAAGCTTTATAACCCCAAACCAGCAAAAATAAAAATAAAAAATCGAATTACGCAAGAAGAACATAAACTACAATGCCCTCATTATCAATCAAATGCTTAAAAGTCCAAAAATTTATAGCCTTAAAAACCCTAATTAAATCGAATTGTCCGAGGAGAAAATATCACCATGAACTAAAATCCCCTCATTATCAATCAAATACTTAAAATTCCAAAACTTCATAGCCCTAAAAAATAACCAAATCGAATTGCCCAAGAAGAATGCATCACCATGAACTAAAGTCCCCTCATTATCAATCAAACGCATAAAAGTCCGCAAAGATACAGCCCTTAAAAAAACCCTAATTAAATCGAATTGCCCAAGAAGAATATATTATCACGAACAAAAATCCCCTCATTATCAAATCAATACTCGAAAGACCAAAACTTTACGACCTTAAAACCAGAGAAAAAAGAGCAAAAAAACACAAAATCAACAGAAGAATAATCGCCATACCGAAGATGAAATTGATCAATGGCCGTGTTCCTTGGCGTGCTGCTGGTGCTCGAGGTGGCGGCGCTCCTCGGGAAGAGCGACGAGGTAGGAGAAGATCATGCCGCCGAAGCAGACATGGTAGAGAGGGTCGATGGAGCTCGTCTGGATGTACTTGGCGTGGTAGTTGTCGAGCGCTCTCTCCACGGCCTTCTTCGCGTAGTCGATCGACAGCATCGGCTTCACGTGGTTCGGCAATTCCTTCACCTTCAAGCCCTTGATCTCGTGGTAGAAGTTCCGCCACGCCATTTTCACTTGCAGAGAGAGAATTTCTGGATCAGATTTGGGAATTTTTGGAGGTTAAAACCTAACCCTAGAAATCGGAGGAGGAAGATGGAGAAGACGAGGATCTGAAAGAGAGAGAGAGAGAGGGAGGGGCTTATGTGTTGTGATGCGTCTCTAGTGTTTTTGTGATTAGATTAGAACCGGTTGTTTCGCAAAGGATCAACGATCAGGACCGCTTATTTTGCTGGTCTCGCCGATTGGGCCCATTGGCAAAGGGATTTTCTTTTTTTCCAAGAAAATTACATACACTACCCTCTGAAGTCATCCTATTAAATAAGGTCCTGTTCACTTCGCTGATTTGAGTTTAGAATTCGAGTTGAGATGTGATTTTATGTGAGAGCTTTTTACTGTAGCAAAAAAGTTAGATGTGATTGTTTGTGAGAGCTTTTTACTGTAAAAAAACTCGAATTTTAAACTCAAATCAGCAAAGTGAACGGATCCTAAGAGTATCATTTTAAAATCTTTCACCTTTTAATTTTGATTAAACAAGTTGACCAAATACGATGTCTAAATATTTTGAACTAGTGCCAGAAGTTTGGGCCGACGGGTCTACCCGATACCTAAATTTTTCAAGTTTAGTGGGCAGGGGTCCATGGCCGCCCGTCAAGCACTAGGGCGGGCTCGGGCTCGGGCTGCCCGAGGAACAGTCACATGGTGGAAACCTGTTGCCGATTTGCCTTCTCCGACCATGGACCGTCGTTTTTTTTTTATTTTTAAAAATTTTTTTCATCCGGCCCGAATTTAAGCCCGAATTGCCTGAAGCACGAGCCCATGTAACAGCTAGTTTTTTAAAATTTTGCGCCCGACCCGTTGCCCAAAAGCCCGATCTCTAATTGTTCTTTTTTTACTGTTGCCCAATTTTCGGCTCAAACCTGCCCGAACCCGACCCGCTGAAACCAAAAATAACCGTTGGATCCGAATTTGGGGGGAAAATTAAATTTTTAACCCAAAAATTTCTCTATAAATACCCCATATCCCCTAAACATTTTTCGCACCTAAACTCTCTCAATCTCTCTCAATCCCTCAAATCTCTCTCACAATTTTTCCAAAAACTATCACAATATCCTAAAGCTTTCTCTCTCAATTTTTTATAATGGATTCTTTTGGTTATGGTGGTATTCCTGTTGATGCCCAACAAAACATGGAAGAATGGCAATTTCCTACTAATGAATTTATTACGCAGGAGTCGCAAACAAAACCAACTGATGAACCTGCAAATCTGAGCCGTGGTGAACGTACTGGAGATCGTGGTCGCAATGGTGGTGGGTGTGGAGGAGAGGCGAGTGCAAGTGCTACTGCGTCTGCAAATGTTGTTATGTCTGCAAGTGTTGCAACCTCGAAGAGGAAATGCAAGCGCACCTCAACAGTTTGGGATCACTTCGACACATTTGAGGAGGTCGACAATGACGATAACATTAAACACATAGCTAAATGTAAATATTGCTATTCTAAATTATAAGGTGACACTATTCACGGTACAACACACTTAAGAAGACACTCCGAAAAGTGTCTTCAAAAGTGTGGCCAAACAAGCGGAGCCGAATTCGGCCAACATAATTATCTTTTGATCGTACAACCGATGGTCTAACCACTTAAAAATACAATTCGCAAGTAGATCGTATGGAAGTTGCGCAAATGGTAGCTGCATTAGATCAACCACTTAGTTTTGTAGAGCATCCTAATTGGCAATGATATGTTAAAGTTGTATACAATCCTAATGCACAGTTTTTTTTTTCAAAAACTACTCTTAAGAAAGATTTGTTAAAATTATTTAAACAAGAAAAAGAAGCATTAATAAACATTTTACACTCTACTAGTGGTTGCGTTGCTATAACGGCATACATTTGATCTGCCGTTGCCAACAAAGATTGTTTATCTGTAACCGGACGTTACTTTAAAGGCTTCGAGTTAGATAAGAGAATATTAGGTTTTAATTGTGTTCTAGGATCACATAGCGACGATTTAATTTATAATACAATATTAAATGTAATTGATGAATATAAATTTAGAGATAAAGTGATGGCTATAACATTAGATAATGCTAGTGCATTTACTAAAGCAATTGAATATTTTAAAAATGATTTATATTTATTTGGTGATGGTGATATTTTTCACCAACGTTGTGCATGCAATGCAATTAATTTAATAGTTAGATCTGGTTTAAAATCAATGGCTATTCATATAAAAGCAATTAGAGATAGTATTGCATGGATTCAGGGTAGTAACTCAAGACAACAAGATTGGTTTAGGTTCTTACAAGTATTAAATCTAACTCCTAGAGCATTAGCCCTAGATATGCCTGTAAGATGGAACTCAACTTATATAATGCTTCGACAATGCATCCCTTATAAGGATGCTATAACAAACTATATCAGTGTAAAATTAGGAGTAAGCCACATAGACGCATATGATTGGCAAATTGCTGAAATTTTGTATCAATTTTTAGGTAGATTTCATAAAGTTACTTTAAAATTTTGTGGAACATATTACCTAACATCACCTTTAGCTTTAGGTGAACTTTTAAGAATGAGTATTTTATTTAGTGAATTTAGGAAGGACCCACTTTTAGCAATTCCTATAGCTTCTATGGAAAAGAAATTTAAAAAATATTGGTCTAAATTACTAATGTTGTATGGTTTCAGTACTATTATTGATCCTAGATTAAAATTAGAAGATTTAGAAAGTGGTTTAGAAAACTTAAGTGAATTTTTAGGCATCAATTGTTCTGACCAATTTCTGAAAATAAAGGAAAAAATATTTTCTCTCTATAGCAAATATGAGAATAGGTTTAGAAACACAAATTCTGGAGTACATAAACCACAACAAAGAGATGAAAACCCGCATTCATTCATGAATGTTTTCAAGTTGAAGAAGAAGAAGAAGACAACTCAAATAGAAGCTGGGAGTGGATCTTCATCAAGAAGTGGTGGCGGTGGCTTCAACGAGCTTATGACATACCTCAGTGAGAGCTTAGTAGTCGACGGTAGTGGAGAATTGTTTGATTTAGTTCAATGGTGGAGGGCACGAGCATTAACTTGGCCAATCCTAACTCGAATGACAATTGATATTTTTTCAATCCGAGTCTCCACTATTTTATTTGAACAAGCCTTCAGTACAACCAGACGAATACTTGAGGAACGCCGAAACACGTTGCAAAGGGACATTGTTGAAATTTGGTGTGCATTAAGGATTAGGATCGTACCAATCAACGTTTACAAGACACAATTTCGCTGGCAAGCCAGAAATGGATAGATGGATTTAATAGATTAACATTTCGCTTTGAAGACGATCCTTTAGGTTCAAATTAAATTGTAATTTGTAAATATTTATTTGCTTTGGACATTGTAATTGTAATATTTAGACATTGTATGTTTGTAAAATTTGTAATTCATCACAAAATGATTGCACTATTTTTTCTTACCATGTTTTTATCCCAATTGGGTTTTTCTTGGTAAAGTTTTTAACGAGACAATCATGAATTATAAATTTAAAAATTAATATACAAAATTAATTTTTTTACATTGTGTTAATAGTGTGTGTTGATTTTAGTTTTTATATAATACAATATTAAAAAAAATTAAAAAATATAATAAAAAATATATTTTTTTTGAACAATTCGGGCGGGCTCGGGCAGCCAAAACCAAGCCCACGGCCCACCCAATGGTATTTTCAGGCTTGGGCGGGCGGCCTGAATTCTTCGGGCGGGTAGGTTCAGGTGTCGTGCTCAAATTTAATTTTTTCGGGCGGTCGCGGACGGCCCGTCTAAAGTTTCAGCACTATTTTGAGCACATATTTTTTCTCCTCACATTTCAAACCCTAGAAACTTCACTAAAAAGAAATATGCTTTAGGATAAAAGTTACTACAACGAAAAAATTAAATTTCAAGACAATTGAAAAAAGGTCAAAAATAATTAAAATAAATAAATAAATAAATTTTAAGATAAAAAGAACAAAGACAAAAAAAATAAAAAGTTAAAATAAATAAATAAATAAACTTTATATTAAAAAGAATCAAAATAAAATAATAAATAAATTGACGGTAAAAGTAAAAAATAAAAATAAAAAGAATTACCTAAAAAAAGAGAAGGGGGGCATTTCAATCGCAACGTCGCCGTTTTGATCAAAGCATGGGAAGATACTTAAAAGCCTGAAAAGGTTTTTCCAAAACGAAACGTTTCGACCTTGTGAGGGCTAGGACAAAATATGTTTTGTCGTTTTTTTCCCCTGTTTTTTTGCCTCTCTCTTCTTCTTCTTTGTTTTTCGTGCCCTGCACTTGCAGTGCACTCATTAATCGATGTTTTTTTAGTGGACTCATTGTGTTGGTCTCGTTTTTAAATAATTTTATTTTTTATATAAAAATGAGAATAAAAATATTTTTAATAAAAATTATTTTTAAAAATATGTTTAATAATTTTATTAAAAAATTATTTTTAGTATAAAAAAATTTATTAATGTTTCTATTTTTTTCTCTCTGTTTAAAAGAGAAAAAAATGAAAATAAAAAATAAAAAATGATTAAAAGTCATTTTTTATTTTTTTCTCATTTTACACTAAACAAAAAAATCGTTTTCATTTTCATTTTTTATCTTTATTGCGCCAAATGCGGTTTTAGAAACGTTTTCATTTTTTCGTTATCAAAAAATGTGAAAAATAAAAATGGGATCAATTCTAAATACAACCATTATTTTTTTCATTTCTTTTTTTTTCTTCTTTTGCTTTTTTTTTTCTTATTCTTTTCTTTCTTTATTTTTCTTCTTTCTTTTTTAGGTCCTCCTGTTTTGCTTTATTAGTCCCTCATTTTCATTTTCTTCTCTTTCTCTTATTTAATCTTATTATTTTTCTCACTATATATTTTTATTACTTTAGATGCAATCCTCATAAATATTTTTTTTTCTAATTGTCTTAGTGAAATAATTTTTTGTGGCTTTTTTTGTCTTCTCTCCGTCTTTTTCTATTCTCATATCATTTTTTTTCCTTCTTTTTTCAAATATGATCCTCATCAATATTTTTTCTTAATTTTCCTCTTAAAATATTTTTTTTTCTTATATGTGTCTCCACCTAAACATCTTTTTTTATGAAACCACCCTAAATTTATTTCATGTACCTAATAAATAATCTTT